GACAGACAGAAAAAAAAACAGACAAACCGAACTGGGGCCAAAAGCAATGTCTCGCTATGGCTCTGGGGCAGGATCTCTGTGCTGCGTCCAGCAGATCCACTTCCCCTCACTCCGCAGAGTGTTCAGAAACAGACTTACCGAGGGACGTCCCGTCTGCTGACCGAAACTGGGCCAGGGTTTCCAGATGCTCGCTAGATGGAATTTGGAGTGGAGACAATTCCAGGGCAGAACGGCGTCTGGGGCGGAGGAACGTCTTCTCCAAGGCCTTCCTCTAGACCACTGGTCCGCTCCCGGGATGGACCTGTTTCCGGGAATCTGAGTAGGTCACCCCGCCAAAGTGGGGGACCTTGTTTGTCTATCTCGCTGGGGCCTCCAAATGTTGTAGACCAACGAGACAGACCAGATTCAGACTCCAAACTGGGTTCAAATTAAGAGAGCTTTATTTCCCGCGTGGCGACTGTCCCATCCTACACAGAGGAGAGAGCAGCCCTGAACTCAGGGGGAGGGTTGCTTATATAGTTGTCTTAGCCCCTGTTAAGGAATTTGGGTTAAGGGTATGCGAGCAAGCAAGCAGCACAGAAGCAGATTTTTGCAGTTAGCTGTTATGCCTGAGGAACAATCAGTTTCTGTGCACACAAAGCAATGGTCATCTATACAATGCAGTGGTTATCTATACAATGCAATGGTTATCTATACAATGCAGTGGTTATCTATTAGCAGATAGTTCTTGCCATTCCCTGAAAATCCAGGGGGCAAGGTCATGTGTTTGTCCTTTACAGTTGTTCTGTAGTTTAGTTGTAATTTTGATGTGGTTGTAGGTACAGGCGATACCACATTTACCTCCCATTTGTACTTATTTTGGGATTTGCCTTTGCTGGCCTTTTGCCCATTTTTTCACGTCATGTTTGTTCATCTTTGTAAAAAATTATTTCTTAGAATTTTTGATGTTCCATGAAACTCAGGTCTGTGATATATGTTGCAAATATTTTCTCTGGTCAGTTACCTTTTAATTTTGTTTACAGTGTATTTTGATATTTGTGTAGAGCCACATTTGTTGCATATTCCCCTTATGACTTTTACATTGGTTTTTCTGTAATAGGGGCAGTGGGCATTTCCGAGCAGACGGTTTAATTCGTGTTGTGGGGGTGGGCAGGGCAAGGCTTTCCCTTCACATCACCGCCCCTCCATTTCTGGTAGAGTGCCCACCCTCAGTTTCGTGGGTCCTGTGTTCCGACAATCTTAGTTCATGAGTTGTCCTTATCAGATGGCTGGTGGTATATATTTGTTGTTGGAGGTCATCTCCAGGCAGACATACATTAGACAGGTATCACCCTAGACTTGACATTCATGGCAAGACAGCTGGTTCATGGCTGGCGGTCTGCCCTGGACAGTAACACAATCATCCCAACACTGGCTCTCAGGACTGGAGGAACCTGAAAGACGGTGGTTTCTCAGAACTTCATTTCCCATCTGCATGGTCTCTCCCTCTTTTTCACTAGCTTTCCCCAGTCATAGCCTCTGTTTTCACCTTTGAAAGGGGTGCTTCCTTCTCATATGGAAGGTAGCGAGGCCCTTGGGGTACTGTGGGGTTGGGGGTTGGAAGATGGACGTTTTTTAACCTTGTGTTAAGCACTCTCAACCTTGTGTTAATGCATTCTTGGAATCCTAGCGGGAGTGGGGGGGCGGTAACCTGGCCCGCCCATGTGTATTGGGTGCTTCATTTGTATGTGAATAGGGTTTGTTATCTTTTGGCTTCAAGGTCTCTTCCATAAAAAGCAAGAGACAAAGCTAGGATGTATGTTTGCAGTAATGCCATCTCAAGGAAATAATTTACTTAAATCCACTTGTGACCTGGGGGTACCAGCCTGCAGATAAATGGGACTGCGTCCAGAGATGTGGAGCATTTGCTACCTTACAAAGCTCCCCCTCACTCCAAGCAGGTGTGCTTGTAGTTCATTGCGTTGCACCGATCCCGGCAGGCCGAGAGACGGCAGGGTACAAAGTTGAAGAACTGCCTTTCAGTTATGGTGGTCACCTCCACCATGCTATGTCCCAAACGTTCGCATTTATTTCTCTGTGTTAGTTTCCTAAGGTGGCTGTAACAAATTGCCACAGATTTGGGTGGCTTGAGACAGCAGAAATGTATTCTCTTGCAGTTCTGGAGGCTAGAAGTCTGAATTCAAGGGCCATGCTCTCTCTGAAGGCTCTCGGGGAGAATCTGTCCTGCTTCTTCCGGCTCCGTTTGATTCCTGGGGTTCCCTGGCTGTGGCAGCATCACTCCAACCTCTGCTTCTGTGTTCACGTGGGTTTTCCTCTGTTTCTCGGTGTGTCTTCTCTTCTTACAAGGACATCAGTTCCTGGATTTAGGGCTTACCTGAAATCCAGGGTGATTTCACCTCAACATCCTCAACTAGATTCCTCTGCAAAGACCCTGTTTGCAAATAAGTCACATTCTGAGGTTTTGGGTAAATGTGCATTTTGGGGGGACACTATTCAACTCACTGCAGTTACTATGGTGGTCACTACTGTTATTCTACATAATAAAAATATGCCTTTATTTCTCATTTCAGATTACTCATAAAGTTAGGTAAACCAAAACATAGCATCTGTTTTTATTACTCATGAGATCATCTGAGGATCTCTGTTAAGCTTGGAGCCAACACCTCATACTTTTATCATTAAAGTTAGGTCAAACCCTCCTTTCACAATGTGTGTGTATCTCAGATCATCCTGTTGTACACTTTAAATGTCTTAGAGTTTTGTCAGTTGTACCTCAATAATGATGGAAAAAAGAAAATTCTGTGAAAAAATTGGATCAAATCTGAAAGTATTGTTATTCGACTTGAATGTCACTTGAATATCAAGGAAATGATTAGCTGCCTGCATCCTCACTGGATTAGACAGTTTATTTCTGAAGTGCATTTCCTAAGTCAGAGATTCATTGAGCTTTATTTTAGGACTAATTTGGAATGTTTGGTATTTCTTTTAATTATCTTGAAGCTCATTGGTATCTCTGTAATAAATTAAAAGACCTCTCAGCTAGAGTTTTCAAATTCCTAATTTGTACATTTTCATGGCATTATTAAAAGGGCAAACTTCTAAAAGTAATTCATAGTGAAAAAAGGGAGCTCTAGGAATTTGAGAGTAGCATGTCAGGAATTCACTGTTCTCATTATCTCCAGCTCTAAGTCCTCATCTGGAGTAGATAATAATAGAGCTCAGTTTTAGGGTATTTGCGCAGATGAAGGGAGTGGTTTATGCAAAGCACTTAGAACAGGTCTGGCATGGGGCAAACAGCTACAAATTGTTAGCTATTATTTCAAATAGGAAGTTTATTTCTCTCCAGGGTGTGCAGATGAAAGGGGTATCGTTATTGAAGGCAGTTTTGCCTTATATAATCAGGGGATATGTATTCTCTAGGGCACATGAGAATCCAGCAATGGTTTATGTTACTAATTTACAAAGTCAAGAAGTATATGTGGCCCTGGCTGGTTTGACTCAGCGGTTGGATGTCAGCCTGTGGACCAGAGAGTCCCGGGTTTGGTAACCGCTAGGGGCACGTACCAAAAAAAAAAAAAAGTATATTCATAGCTTATCACTTTCTTAAATAATATCCGGAGAAAAATAACTTGCTCACAGGACAAGTTTAAGACCAAGGTGTTAAAAATATATTTTATATGGCAAAAATCGTATATACTCACTGTAGAAAATTTGACAATACAGAAAAGAAGAAAAGCGACAATGACCTGTGATCTATGGTAGGCTTTAAAATACAATTTACTGGGGGAAAAGGAGAAACATCTGTAGCAAAAATAAATTTAAAAAATATATACAACTTACAACATTAAGGGGCTCAAACTTGGGGCACCATTACTCATTTTTACCAAGGGCCTACTTTGGAAGCAGTTAACTTGGCATGTTGAGGCTCTGAATTATGTTGTGGTGGAGTCATCTCAACCATTTGTCCTGATGTAAATGAATTTGAGCTATATTCCAGGGACAGGGTATCCTTTCTTATCAAAGGCACCTGCCTGGGTGGGAGGGGAGCAGACTTCCAGGCCTCTGGGACTTTGGAGAAGGCGCTGTGCCTAAGCCTGACATCCCTCTCTGTTCCAGGATGCCAGTGCCACCTCCTCCATGAGGAGCAGGGGACTTCAAACATAAGAGATTCAGTTATCTAAGAGGACTGGATATCCTCCATGGGGCCTGTGACTCTAATGCCCTTCATCTTGATGTTGAAACCCATCAGAGGAGTTGGCGGCTAGTATTTAGGCTTTACTAGAGTTTGAATACCTCCCACTTTGAACAGAATTAAAATTATCTCTATAAATAAGAGGAATAGAGCCCGTGACAAACAGATCATTTAACACTCCCCCCCCTCCCCCGCCCTTCTGGACCGCTTCCCGAACCCCGCCCCAGCACAGTGAGGACAATTTGCTCCTTGAAGTTCTTGTACTGACCAGCCAGCCTCCCTGGATGTCAGTGAAACCTTACCCATCCACAACCTGTCAGTTTCTGTTCTTTAAGAGAAACAGGTGCTAAAGGCCGAGAGTGGACACATGCCACTCATAAAGAAATCTATTGTATGGCAGGCAGGTCACTGATTTTCTTTTTAATCTGCCAGAAACTTTTAAAGGAAGGAAGCCGTTCTTTACGTTTTTAAATGCCCCTGTGGCTATTCCCACGGGTCCCGTTTGTTTACCAGAAGCCCTGTAAAGACAGCCTTTCGGAGCCTGAGCTGGTGTGTTCTGGGCCTTTCCAGTCCCCAAGGGCTCCTTCCCCCTCCTCGTCTCCTCCGCCCTGCGCCCCACCTCCCTCCATCCAAGGCATCTCTGTGCAGGGCTCTGATTGGTGCGCAGAGCAGCCTCGCCTTTTAGGGACTGTTGTTAGGCATTTAAAGTGATAAGGGAAAGGGTCCAGGGACTGCTTTTATCAACCAATCAAAAAATTTCCTGACAGGTCCCCAAATATTCCCGGGCCAATGGCAGGGAGTGCCCAAGATGCCTGGCCTGCTCCCTGGAGAGGCAGAGCTTAAGTTGCAGCAGGAGGGGCAGGAGCTCAAGGAGCCGCTGGCCGGCCAGCCCCGCCTGGCACGCGGGCTGTGTCGCCGGCTGTGTCGCTGTCAGGATTTGTCTAGCGCCGCATTCCGTCACAGGGGTGTGTTGGGGGGAAGTCCTCTTTCCGACTGTCAGAATGGTTATCAAAGTGTTTGTTGCCACATCTTCCGGGTCCATAGCGGTAGGTGTCTGGGGGTGTGCGGGCTTTCTTCCTCTTCTGCTATCGGAGCAGCTCAGGCCTGGACCGGAGCGGGGTGGCCCGGCCGCTGGAGCTTGGGGTGAGCGGGGAGCAAACCGCGGCTGCGCAGGGAGCTGGGGCCCTGGCTCTCCGGTTCGTTCCCGGGTGGAAGAAGCGCACCGGGTGTGAAAAGAGACACGAGGAAGGGGGTGTGTTTGAGTCTATCATTTTTAACAAGTGATTTCTGTCCTGTTGTGTCGGATATGTTCTCGAATCAAAGGCTTTTTTTTCTCTTGGTGGAATGTTTTTGCCATTCATGCTGCAAGATTTACAAACGTTGCAAATCAATGACACTTTGTGTAACACTGGAGCTAGAAGAACCAGATTACTAAAACGACGCCTGGGTGTACTTACTTGTGTCTGCCGTGGACCCAGACGGAAAGGGTACAGTTAGCATGTGTAATACTATGATTTAGGAAAATGATGTCACGGTGACAAGAAGGAACAGCGCTAAGGCCACAGTTTTAAACGCTCTAGGAATCCAAACAGACTAAAAATAGGTGCTAAAAGCAGACCCCATAACATTGCTTGGATTTCCTCAGGGCCACGCTTGGAACCACCGGCCCACCTGTCCAATTCCAGCTTTCTCTCTGGGCAAGAGAGCCTGCCTGCAGAAACAGGGATTGTGGGGGTCATTCAGGCTTTGGTACTGCCGCTTCCACCAGCATTTTAGCAGAAGGGTGGGAGGCTGTGGAGAGGAACACTTTTATTAATCCTGAGAGTTGGAGACCAGCGAGGGGGCTGTTTCCTTTTATGTCCAGGCCCGGGACTGTCTGGTGGCAGCTAGGATTTCAGCGGTCACTCTGCCAGGGATGATGCCCTAGGTGAGGCGCTGGTGGGGAGCAGTCCAGCGGCAGCTGTCGAAGCCACACTCCCAGTGCAGTTTCCAGAGCGGGCGAGTGGAAAACAAGAGCAAGGAAAACAGGAGCCCAGCTGATCAGCAGGTGTCTAGTGATTTCTAGAACATCTTTTAACAGAAAAAGATGAGGAAAAAGTCTAGGTGTAAGAACTGCAAAATCTTTTGTGGCTGTTGATGACCTCAGAAACTCTTGACCTGCAATGAGCACCCATTTGGGGATTATTTAGATAAAAATGATTTTTAAGGAAAATGGTTTTAGTCGGCTTTGAATATGCCGTTGATGTCCATTGCTGCGAATTTTACAACTAACCTTCCAATCTTCCACATATTCTGTAGACCAGGCCAGAATGGCCCATACACCGTGGATACATTTATGGATTCTTTAGGATTATTTGATGTCCTATATTCCGGAAGTGAGAGCTTGATTTAGTTAGCCTCAGAGGGGTACCATTCATTCCGGGATCTTGGAAAAGCCAAGTTAATTCTTGTTCCCGAGCACATATTTTCGTGCCACTTGGAACTGTTTGACCTTGGAAAGTTATTTCACCTTGCTGAGCCTCAATGTCCTTGTCTGTAAAATGAGGACATGAATAGCACTCATCTGACAGGTTGCCAGGAGGACTTAGGAAATAACACGTCTGGGTGCCTGCCATGGTGTCAAGTGCTTAATCAGTGCTTAATACATATTATAATGATTAGTTAAGGACATAATTATTAGCTCTGGCTAAATACTCTAATCGTTATAACTTTTAGTTATTATACTTGTTAGTTAATATTAATTAATATTACTGCAGTTGTTATAATTATTAGGTAATATTAGTAGATCTGAGTTTATGATGATTATTTTTCAGAAGAATTGTCCCAAGCCACATAAATGGAAGAATTTGTCTCACCCTAAAGAATGAGAACTGATTATTTCAATGGTGTTTGGGCTAATGATTTTTCCTGGTGGGGGCATTTCACCAGAAGCTTCTTTGTAGGAGAACCTCAGGGCAGATGGCAGGATGTAGGCTGTGTGCGGTGTTGGTCTGTGAGACCTTTACTTACCTCTCCAGCCTGTAGAATTCTTGCCCGCGACCTACTCAAGCAGCATGATTTCTTCTGCTGGATGAATGAAATAAATGAAAGAGGAGAAAACAAATTGTAATCTCTTTATGAGGGATCACGCACATGCACTGGGTACTCTAGCTCTATTTCAACAGTTGACGTTCAAGTGAGCTTACAGGTTTTCATGGCAGGGTTTGGGTGGAGAGACCCTGGGAACGGAAGGCCTGTGCCTCTTGTGTGACCCGCCTCTCTTCCTGAAGGCCACTGCCACAGCCGGCTGGGGGACCAAGGGAGAGAGGCTAGATCTCACCGTTTCCAATCTGAAACGTTTCCAATATGTGGTTCCACAGCCCTGGAACCACAGTCTTTGGGACAGACCCTCGTGGGAGCTCCCGGGTTCCTCAATCCTTCCACTAGCCGTGAGCGAGTGTAAGAACAGCAGGAAAACCTGGCTCTTGAATTAGGTGGATCAGGGTAAGCCTTGGAAACTTCTCTAATGCACTGGTGCGTCAGCTTTGTTATTTTAAAATGGTGGTCAGAGTACCTACCTGGCATGCTGATCAAGACAGGTGAGCGAGATACGTGTGCTGCTGGTGTGGGACAGAGCAGGTTCTCAACTGTGGAAACGCTTCTCCGTGCACCCTCTCCCGGACTCTCCCCAGGACCGGGAGGAGGGCGCACTCTGCCCACCTTGCAGAGAGGTGGTTGACCAGCAGAGCGCCTGCTCAGACAGCACCCTTCCGAGCCGGGACAGACGCAGGTCACCTCCCACTCAAGTGCAGTGTGCCTTTTACTACAGTACAGTGACCTCAGTTGGAAAGGCTCCTAACTGTACAAGACAATAAACAGGCGAGTGACCCAAAGATCACTCCGACACATTAATGTGACCGACAGTGGCCGGGTGACTTCAGGACAGAGAAAACACTTGTCTGAGTAAATGTAACAGGATAGGAGAACAGAGCTCTCTGAGCCAATGCTGAGGTCTCCAATGCTCTAAATGACACAGACCCCAAGGACCCCCAAATCCTCACGAGGGGCCCCACCTTCTTGGGGCTGACATTGGCCATGACACCGTGGAGAGTGAAAAGGGGTGAAAGGTGGAGAGGGGAGTGTGTCTGGTGAGAACTGCTGGGGTGCTGTGCATGCCCCTCCCGCTGAAGCCACGAAGGGGAGGCACCCTCTGGGACTGATGCTTGTCCCTGGAGGTCAGCTCAGGAGGACATGTGGAGAAAAGCCACACTTTGACCGAGGGTCCAGGGGGGCTTCTTGAACAGAGACTCATCAAAGAGGGGGGCTGCAGAGGAGAGTCCCCACTGCTCACGGTCGGCATCAGGGTGTGGGTGAAGGCAACCATGCCGGCCAGGTGAGCTCACATGCTCCTGACTCCCCTCTCCCCTCCTGTGGCTTCTTGCTAAGACCCTTCTCCAGCCCCGGCAGAACTCAAGGTCAAGGGTTCCAACAGATGCTATGCCTCTGGCCCAGTTTAAGTTACTGGTGTTTGGGAGGTACCAAGGGGCACATTTAATTTCTCTTCTCTTTGGGTGAGGGGCTGAGAAATAGCATTTAGCACAGGGTCTTGCACCCAGCAATCAGTCAACTTCCTGAAGATGCAATTGCTTGTCTTGGGAGGAGTCCATCTCTGACTTTCTCACAGAAGAAACATCTCAGGACTTTGGAGAATGTTTCTCGTCTATTCAGAAATCATGGACTAAAATGAGATCCCTTTTTCATCCCCTCTCAAGTGCTGAGGGATGACTGGTAGATGGCAGTGATGTTGGAGGGGTGGTGGGCCTTGGCCAGGCTGAGAAGGAAAGAAGACGGGGGTTTGGACGGAATAAAGGATGTTGTCCTCTGAATATTTAATTAAAGGTAAACCTGCCTAAAATGAAGACACCTCTACTCTTCAAAACAGCAGATTTCTCTCTGAAAATAGCTAAAGGAATACAGGATTTATAAAGTGGTGCAATTAATTATGAACAGGTTGGAAAGTATGTAGAGAAAACACGATTAATGGAGGTGAGAGTTTAGTCCAACACCCTGTCATCAGGGCTGATGGGACTTTGTAATATTCAGAAATTCAGCCGCGCAGCTGTGGGGCATGGAGTCCAGTTTCCTGGGGGAGGAGCAGAAGGTCTGGGGCGACCCCAGCATTGCTTGGGGGAGGGCACATGGGTGGAGAAAATGCAGGTCCTCCTCTGGTTCTGACAGATGTGACACTCAGGAATACGCCAGAGTGCTTGTGGAAGCTCAAGGAAAATTCCATTACTCCACCTCTCTCTGTGTGACGTTGTGTCTTTTGTCCATGCCTACCCCAAACTGAGAGAGACGTCTCGGCACAAATCTTACTGATTAAGTGTTGCATTGGGGCTAACAGCCACCTGTAGTTTATTGCGCTAATGCTTTTATTCTCAATATCTTCATTATGTTGGTGGTACAAATGTTAATGAAAAAGTAAATGTGTGGTTACCATTTATCTATGTGTATATGTAATTTATGTGTAATTTACTTTATAGTAATTATATATGTGTATATGTAATCTATATCTAACTTACTTTATGTTAAACATTTAAAAGTTATTGCCCTGGCTGGGTGGCTCAGTTGGTTGGAGTGTTGTCCTGTGTACCCGAAGGTTGCTGGTTGGATTCCTGGTCAGGGCACAAACCTAGGTTGTGGGTTCGATCCCCAGTCACTGCATGTACGGGAAGCGACTGACTGGTTTCTCTCTCACATCGATGCTTCTCTGTCTCTCTCTCCCTCCCTTCCAACTCAATAAAAACATGTCCTCGGGTGAGGACTAAAAAATATTTAATATTAATTTATCTTATATTGATAATTAATATAACACATACAATCAAGTCACCAGCAAAACGAAATTAAACGGAGTTTGTTTTTGGTAGCGATTTGAGTCTAGAGCTTCAGCACCCAGGTGTGCCTTACTTTTCCCTTAATTAAGAAAGAAGCCCTACACTCAAGTTGTTGATAGAATCGTTCACTTTGGAAAAATGAATAAACTCGTTTTTTGGGGCATACTCATTTCTATGAAAGGAGTTGGGTTTGGTCAAAGAGGGTTTGATGTAGACATCAGGGCTGGGAAGGGCATGTACCTTTCGTGGCATTTACCAGGAATCCTCAGTCTAGTCCCTCTGCTGGTAAACAAGCTACACGAGGACAACAAGGGGCCTCATGCTCTAAGACCATTTAAACGTTTTTTTAATTAAAAATTTTTAAAAATATATGTTTTTATTGATTTTTTTTAGAGAGAAAATAAGGGAAAGAGAGAGAGAAATATTGATATGAGAAACATCAATTGGCTGCCTCCTGCACACTCCCTACTTGGGATTGAGCCCCAAACCAGGGCATGTGCCCTGACCTGAAATCGAACTGGGACCTCTCAGTCCATGGGGTAACGTTCAATCCCCTGAGCCACACCAGCTGGACTACTCTATAGACCATTTTAATGACTTGATTTCATCATCAGACAATATTCAGAGGACTTAAAAAATTAAGATATTGGATATTTTCATGTCAAAAGATACTTATTTAAAATTTTAATCTTAGGTTTTAAAAAAATGACCATATTTTGCCTCTTTGTTATCTTTAGCTTGTTCTGTATCTAATTTGTACAAATGAGTTCTTCACATTTTTTTCACCCAAACAAACAGCTTATGGATCTATTCAGATGAAGAGCTTGGCACAGTCTTGTGCAGAGTAGAATCAAGAATTAAGTGTTGTCCAGCCGGTGTGGCTCAGTGGTTGAGCATTGACCCATGCACCAAGAGGTCACCAGTTCAATTCCCAGTCAGGACACATGCCCAGGTTGTGGGCCTGATCCCCAGTGGGGGGCGTGCAGGAGGCGGCCTGTCGATGTTCTCCCTCATTGATGTTTCTATCTCTCTCTCCCTCTCTCTAAAATCAATAAAGAAAAAAAAATCTAAAAAAAACAAGTAAATGTTGATTGATCAAGTGACCACTCTGGGGGTCCCCCAGAGGCTGTGAAAATATGTAGTCCCGAGCCCGCTGTAACTTGTGTACCAGTGTTTCTTCAAGAGGGCCTCACGCATTTCTGGGAGCGAATTCTTCGACTGAAGAGAGAAAATCGTTGTAATTGTTTCTGGAAACAATTCTAAGCTTTAAAGATGGCCACCTCCATGAGAAGTGGCCCCTGGGAGATGCAGGAAGCACAGGTGAAAGGTGCTGGCGCCTCCTCTCTGGGGTGCCTTCAGAGCTGGGCTGAGCAGGAGGGGATCTGGGGAGGACAGGGTCGTTCACGGCGCTTCTCCTGTACGTGCCGGGAGCAGCTCCGCCAGCCGTTCCAGCCTTTTCCCTGTCCGTCCGCACCCAGCCATCTCCCCTGGGCTTTCCAGTTCCTGTATTCGTAAAGTACTCTGTTCACTGGGACTCATGTTCCTATTTTCTTAACTGACCGAGTGCATTTAGTGTGGGTCTATTTGGTATTTGAGTTTCACAGCAAATAGACTTTTTTCTTCTTTCTTCTCTCCCAATCATCATTTTTCTTCATAACCAAGTCTTATTTATTTTTTGGCCTTAACGCTTAGCAAAGAAAAGAACTTTTTTTTCTTTTCCAATTTTTATTAATTTATTTTTGTTACAGATGTTTCTCCTTTCCCCCCCAAACGCCCTCCCCCATCTTGCCCCCCCCTACATTGTTGTCTGTGTCCATTGGTTATGTGTACATGCACATAAGTTCCTTGGTTCATCCCCCCCACCCCACCCCCCCTCTGAGGTTTGGCAGTCTGAACCATACTCCTCTCTATGTCTCTGGGTCAAAGAAAAGAACTTTGAAGATGTCACACAAAAGCTATGATGAGAGCATGTCTATTCTTACTGGGTTGGTTATAGCATGATTTTTTTTTTTTTATCCTCATCCGAGGACATTTTTCCATTTTTTGTACAGACAGAGTGGGAGGGAGAGAGAGGAAGAGAGAGAGAGGGAAACATCGATGTGAAAGGGACACATCGAGTGGCTGCCACCCGCACGACCAACCAGGGCCAGGGACAAACTGCAACCGAAGTACGTGCCCTTAGCGGGAACCGAACCCGGGTCTCTCGGGACCGCAGGTGGACGCTCTAACCACTGAGCCAAACTGGCCAGGGCAGCATGATTTAACATTGATGATACTAACATTTCAGAATTTAAGTAATCCCTGTTTATTCTTTATAATGAAGAGGTGTGATTTTATTTTTTCTTGGTTTAAATACTTTGAGAAATTATTTGTGTTGCATAGTACAGTTGGAGAAAGGATTTCACTTATGGAAATATAAGCAAAAGATTTTAAAAAACGAGTCTAATAATTTCCTTTCTCTCCTTTTGAACAGATTAGGAAAAAACAGCAGGAAGTAGTGGGCTTTTTGGAAGCTAATAAAATCGACTTTAAGGAATTAGATATAGCTGGAGATGAAGACAACAGGAAGTGGATGAGAGAGAATGTTCCTGGAGAGAAGAAACCTCAAAACGGGATTCCTTTGCCACCTCAGATCTTCAACGAAGAGCATTATTGTGGGGTGAGTTTTTAGTTTCTTGGAAAATTCTTCTGCATGTGTGTTTCTCAGAAATTATTTAAAGCAGATTAATTGGGGGGCAGCATTTGAAGTCGTTCACAGTTCTCAGGTCACGACCTGTTTCCACCATCCAATATCTGAATGGCAGACCCATTGTGAATAAGCAACATGTAAGATGTACAAAACGATGGAAACAATAAAATGATGACTCAGAAGTTCTTGGGATTAGTTTACGTTCCTTATTTTATTTTGAAGAATTGAGGTCAGTTGTTCAAACAGAATATGCCTTTAGTTGGAAAGGAATTCCAATACACACGTATGTGCCCCCACAGAGACACGGGGTAAGTTTTCACTTTCATAAAGAATGATTTGCAGAAGAAGCCAGGTCTTACTATAGATGCAAGAGAAATTTGTGTAAAGGTATCTAAGTGGTTTAAACACTGTTCTGGGGCATTCTGCTTACAAAAGCAGTTTTATTTCATACATTTAATGGTTCATTTCATCATAAAATCACTTTTTCTTTAGTTATTTTAATACACATACTTGATTTAAATGAAAGAGAATCAGTATCTTTATTCTTGTCCCAAACATTAAAAGAGACTTTATATACTTTAATCCAAACCACCCTCTTCCCATTTACATGTGTTTGGGTTTTTCAGTATTTTAGCTTATTGGCCTTCATCCCACTCCTAAAATTGGACATTTATATTTATTATTTTAATAGTCAATATTTGTTTAGATTAGCTTTATCCACAATTTACTGATGTCTCTGCTCATGATTCCTTCTTGCATCTTAAATGATCCACCCGGAACCATTTTCCTTCTGCCTAAATACATGTAAGTTTCTTAGAGTGAGGGTCTTTCGGTGGTAAATTCTCTAAACTTTTGTTTGTTTAAAAAAGAAAATTTCCAGACAAATGTCTTTATTTTACTTTCATGTTTAGAAAATAGTTTCCCTAGTACTAGAAATCTGGGTTGATGGTTATTTCTTCTAAGCACATTGAAATGATTTTCTTTCTTCTGACTTTTGTGTTACTATCGAGAAGCCAGCTTTCTTTTCTGGGGAAACTGTGTCCACCACCCACCGCCTTCCCCACTTCCTCCTTTCCTCCCTGCTCCCCTCTCCCTTGGTGCTTTTAATAGTCTTTCTCTAGGATGTGTCAGTGTTTAGAGTTCTTTTTATTTATCCAGTTTAGGATTACCTATTGGGCTTCCCGAGTCTGAGAATTGGTATCTCTCAATAAGTCTAGAAACTTATTAGCCATATCTGTTTGAGTATGGTTTTCCTCCATCATCTCTGTTAGCTTCTCCTAGAGCCCCTATAAGATGTTATTTAGACCGTCTCACTGTGTTGTTCTATTTCTTCCTCATTTTCATCTCTTTTTCCCTCCTTAGAGAATTTGTTTTAAAAAAACTTTCAGTTAACTAATTCTATCTTCTGATATGTCTGATTAGCTATTTAATCCACAGATGTTGGCTTTTACAATTCAGTTATTATATATTCATTTTTAGGAGTGCTTTTTGGTTCTTTTCCAAATTTACTTGATTGTTCTCTCTAGTTTGTTTATTTCTTGTGTTTTCAAGCTTCTCTTTGGTTTATTTAAATATATTAATGTAGATATTTTATATTTCCTGCCTTGTAATTCCAATATCTAATTCTGATGTCTGATTCTACTTTTTGTTATTTCTGCTGGCATTTGATCACGGTACATTTTTATTTCCTTATTTATGTTGTGATTTTTGACTCTGAACTGCTCATTTTTTTTTTTTTTTTTTATCCTCACCTGAGGACATTTTTCCATTTTTTGTACAGATAGAGTGGGAGGGAGAGAGAGAGAGAAGCATCGACGTGAAGGGACACATCGAGCGGCTGCCACCCGCACGACCAACCAGGGCCGGGGACAAACCGCAACCGAAGCACGTGCCCTTAGCGGGAACCGAACCCGGGTCTCTCCAGACTGCAGGCCGACGCTCTAACCGCTGAGCCAAACCGGCCAGGGCTGAACTGCTCATTTTTTAAACTTTATTTATGGTTACTCTTTGAGGCCTGGAACTAGGTTCTGCTAAGATTTTAAGCTGCTTACAAAAAAAGCATCCAGTATAAAAGAATAAAATGAACCTCTGAGCAAACTGGGGTGACAGGTAGGAAAATAATAAAGCTTTGCAAGATGACCACACAGGACTTCATAAGGTTTTCTTCCCAATAGAAGTGGCCTGTATTTGGTTTTAAGTTTCTTAACACACATAAGAGTAGGGTCAGCAGTAACACAACTGAGTTGGTTTGAGTGTTGTCTGGCTCAGGTGAGGCCACACAGACTCCTGCTTCTGCATGAGCCTTTCTGCAACACCGTTGAAACTGCGTCACAGCCCTGATGACAAAGACTGGCAGTCATAAAGTAGTCTGGGGACTTTTGTGTTTCAGTGATGAAAAATGAAACTCTTCTGAGCTATTGACAACTACACTACTGAAGTGCTGGTTTAGGGCTGGACTCACCTGGTGAAGAGCTGATTGACACCTGGGTGGGGCCTCGGGTGGGGGTGGAGCTTCACTGAGCTGCAGATTTCAGCTGACGACCTGGTTTTAGATCATAGTTCTCCCCATTTTGCCAAAACAACCTCTGCTCTGAGCCCTCCACAATCTTGTGGCTCCTGGTTTCAGAAGGCCTGAAATGAATCTGAGTCCTCAGAAGTTACTGTAATAACAGCAGAGAAATCCTGTGTTGTTTGAGTCTCTGCTGATCAGGCCATAATCCAAATTTTGAGGAAACCAGGTAAAGATGTGAAACCCCTGGAGAAGCCTTTTCCTGTGTATATCTGAGTCTTGTTAGCAATTCCTGAGCACGAACAGTATGTGTGTGTGTGAGATGTGTGTGATTGTGTATGATATATGATGTGTGTGTGTAATATGTGTGTGTGTGTGTGTGTGTGAATTCTCACTGCACTGTCATCTTTGCAAAGCAAACTGGCATAACCTTTTGCGTTAGCTCCTAAAATAATGACAAAAAAAAAAAAAATCAACTTAGGTAAAGAAAATATCCTGGCTCACAAGTGTGCATTGCTTTAAACATCCTTTTTCTTTGCTTCAAGGATTTTGACTCTTTCTTCTCTGCAAAAGAAGAGAATATTATTTATTCATTCCTTGGCTTGGCTCCCCCTCCAGGCTCAAAGGTAAGCTTGAACACTCTCTGGGGTCCCAGTACAGGTCATAATAAGTGAAGCTAGAAATCAGCATCCAGGACTGTTTAATAAATGAGAGTATTTAAATTAACATGATTTTGCCTGGCCAGTGTGGCTCAGTGGATTGAATGGCGTCTCATGGACTGAGAGGTCCCAGTTCGATTCCTGGTCAGGGCACATACCTGGGTGTGGGCTTGCTCCTTGATGAGGGTTGTGCAGAAGGTGGACAATTGATATTTCTATCTCTCTCTCCCTGAAAAGGATCAGTAAATAATAAAAAAAAATTTTAATTAATATGATTCTAATACATTCCTTATTCTGATGAAATCTCACGCATAGAGATAATGCAAGGTTTTTACTAACACATGTTCCAAAACTATGCTTTTCATATTTTTGCTTCATTATACTTTGTTATATAATAAAAATCAATAAAAATAAAAAATAAATAAAAGTTTTACAATATTTTAAAAAAGAACTATCATTGCATTCAATAGTCTTAAGAGTGCTAGTTAAATATGTGAAAATAAGAATTTCCAGGTTGTGTTTATGAAATGTTGTTATGAATTGACTTCTCATATAGCTTATATTAGTTAATTTTATTTTTATATTTCTTAAACTTATCTTTATTGTTGAATGAATTACAGATGTGCCCCCTTTCTTTCCCCATTGAACTTCTCTTCCCCAATCCCGCTTCCGTCCTGCCTTCCCCACACTATTGTTTATGTCCACTGGTTATGCATATATACATATAATTTCTTTGGTTTATCTCTTCCTGCCCTCCCTCCCCTCTTGTCTTTGAGGTTCATTAGTTTAAAAACAAAGTTGTACTTCTTGCCCTAGCCGGTTTGGCTCAGCAGTTAGAGTGTCGGCCTGTGGTCCAGAGAGACCCGGGTTTGGTTCCTGCTAAGGGCACGTACCTTGGTTGCAGTTTGTCCCTGGCCCTGGTTGGTCATGCGGGTGGCAGCCACTCGATGTGTCCCTTTCATGTTGATGTTTCTCTCTCTTCCTCTCTCTCTCTCCCACTCTATCTGTACAAAAAATGGAAAAATGTCCTCGGGTGAGGATAAAAAAAAAAAAAAAAATTTGTACTTCTTAATCCCTTCATGTTTTTCATCCATCTCTCCAGCCCCCTCCCATTTGGCAAGCAACAAAAAGTTCTCTGTATCTACGAGTCTGTTTCTGTTCTGCTTGCTCATTTTGTTTGTAGATTTATTTGTTGATAGATATATATTTATTGCCATCTTATTGTTCATATTTTTCTTCTTCTCCTCGTCCTCCTCCTCGTCCTCGTCCTCCTCCTCCTCCTCCTCCTCCTCCTCCTCCTTCTCCGTCTTCTTCAAGAAGACCCTTTGACATTTAATATAATAGTAGTTTGGTGGTGATGAACTCCTTTAGTTTTTTTCTTGTCTGGGAAACTCTTGATATGTCTAGCAATTATACATGAGAGCTTTGCAGGATAGAGTAATCTTGGTTGTAGGGCATTGCTTTTCATTACTTTGAATATCTTTTGCCGTTTCTTTCTGGCCTGCAAAATTTCTTTTGAGAAATCAGCTGACAGTCTTATGGGAGCTCCTTTGTAGGTAACTAACTGCTTTTTTCTTGCTGCTGTTAAAATTTTCTCTTTGTTTTTAACCTTTCACATTTTGATGATGATGTGTCTTGGTGTGGACCTCTTTGTGTTCATCTTGTTTGGGACTCTCTGTGCTTCCTGGACTTGTATGTCTGTTTGCTTCACCAAGTTAGGAAAGTTTTCTGTCATTGATTTGTCAAATAGGTTTCAGTTTCTTGCTCTCTTTCTGGCACCCCCATGATGGGAATGTTGGTACTCTTGAAGTTGTCCCAGAGGCTCCTTACACTGTCCTCATTTTTTTGGATTCTTTTTACTGTTCTGATTGGGTGCTTTTTGCTTCCTTATATTCCAAATCAATGGTTTGCTATTTGGCTTCACTGACTCTACTATTGATTCCCTGTAAATTATTCTTTTTTTTTTTTTATCCTCACCCGAGGACATTTTTTCTATTTTTTGTTCAGATAGAGTGTGGGAGGGAGAGAGAGAGAGAGAAACATCGACATGAAAGGACACGTCGAGTGGTTGCCACCCACATGACCCAACAAGGGCCAGGGACAAACTGCAACCGAGGTACGTGCCCTTAGCGGGAACCGAACCCGGGTCTCTCTGGACCGCAGGCCGACGCTCTAACCGCTGAGCCAAACCGGCCAGGGCTGTAAATTATTCTTTATTTCAGTTAGTGCATCCTTCATTTCTGACTGGTCTTTTTATTTATTTATTTTATGTTGTTGTTCTCACTAAATTCCGTGGAGTTTTCTTTAAGTTCCTTGAAGTTCTCACTAAGTTCCTTGAAGGTCTCACTAAGTTCCTTGAGCATCTTTATAACCAGTGTTTTGAACTCTGCATCTGATTGATTGCTTATGTCCATTTTGTTTATTCTTTTCCCAGAATTTTGTTCTGTTCTTTCACTTGGAACATGTTTCTTTGTCTTCTCCTTTTGGCTGCCTCCCTGTGTTTGTTTGTTTGTTTATCTTCATCCGAGGACATTTTCCCATTGTTCAAATAGAGTGGGGGTGGGGAAAGAGAGAGAGAGAGAGATTGACATGAAAGGGACACATCGAGTGGCTGCCTCCCACATGACCCAACCAGGGCCAGGGACAAACTGCAACCGAAGTACGTGCCCTTAGCGGGAACTGAACCTGGGTCTCTCTGGACCACAGGCCGACGCTCCAACCGCTGAGCCAAACCGGCCAGGGCTGTTTCTATGTATTAGGTAAAGTTGCTATGTCTCCTAGGCTTTGTAGGGTAGCCTATTGTCGTAGGTGTCTTGTAGGGTCCAATGGCACAGCCTCCCTTACTACCCCAGCTGGGCCCTCGAGGTGCAGCCCTAGTGTGGACTATACATCCTTCTGTTGTAATTGAGTCTTTAAATTTTTTTTTTTTAAATTGATTTTAGAGAGAAAGGGAAAGGGGGAGAGAGGGATGGAAACATCAATGAGACAGAACATCGATTGGCCACCTCCTGCATGCTCTCTATTGGGGATCGGGCCCACAACTGGGCATGTGCCCTGACCAGGAATCAAACCAGTGACCTCTTCGTGTATGGGTCAATGCTCAACCACTGACCCACACCGGCCGAGCATAATTGAGTCTTGACTGCTGTTGACACATCAATGGGAGGGATGTACTCAGGCTGATTAGCTGCAAGGACTGTCTGTGCCCACTGTCCACCAGCCTCTGACTAGGTACCTAGGAGGATCAGCTGTGCAGGGGCCACCACACAGAGCAAGACTTACTTCAACAGGGCTCTGGTACCCACTGAGTTCACTCTCTGAGTGTGTCGCTTGTGGAGGTGGTTGGGTGGTGGTGTTTTGATGTGGTCTGAAGCTGTTCACTGGGTGTGCTGGCTCTGGGGCAAGCTCAGCCATTGCGTGTGTTCTACCTGGAGCCACCTGGCATGAGCTACAGAGTGGTCTGCAGATGGCTGCTTCTTGTGCTGGGCTTGGAGGTGCCCAGGACAAGCCAAGTTGTGAACCAAGGCTGGCTGCTTCTAGTGCCAGGCCTGGGGCCACTGAATTAGAGGTGTGGCGCTCGCTGAGACCAGATGCTGCTTGTTTGAGACATTTTAGGAAAATCTGAAGCAGGAGCCAAGACAGGCCAATGCTATGGTAAAGCCATTGGAAACAGCTTAGGTGGGCCTGAAGCCAACAGTGTGAACCAGGTTGCTGGAGTCCCAGATATGGAGCCTGTCCGCCTGTCCTGTGGGGGAAGGGCTCACCAAAGGAACAGTGACCTCCGCCAGCACATCTGTCTGGGAGAAAGCTGCCTCTCCAGCTCTCCCCCCAATGCCAAATGACTTAGTTCTTGCCCGTATGTCTCTCGGGCCTTTCAAGCTGTCTCCCCAACACTGGAGCCCAGAAGGAGAGAGTCCAAGTAAGTCTGTGTGCTGGCCCTTTAAGAGGAACTGCCTGGGGCTCCAGCAACCTCAGTTCCCACTGGTTTCACAGCCAGAAGTTATGGGGATTCTCTTCCTGGCACTGGACCCCTGAGCTGGGAGCCTCGTGTGGGACGGGGACCCCTCACTCCTCAGGGAGGAGCTTCCCAGCCGAGGTGTCCTGATTTTTATCCGCCACACGTGGGTGTGGGGCCAGCCTGTCCCCGCCTCCGCCCTCCTGCCAGTCTCAGTGTGGCTACTTTTTAAATTCTGTAGTTGTAGGACTTCCGTTCTGCCTGATGTCAGGTGGTTCTGAATGATGGTTGTTCTGTAGTTTAGTTGTAATTTTGATGTGGTTGTGGGAGGAGGCGAGACTGTGTTTACCTACCCGCCATCCTGACCAGAAGTCTCTATTAGTTAATTTTATAATCGTACAGCCCCTATTTTAATTTTTTCTATTTAAAATAAGTTAAGCCCTGCTCAGCTGGTGTGGCTCAGTGGTTGAGCAATGACTCATGCATCAAGAGGTTGCCAGTTTGGTTCCCGGTCAGGGCACATGCCCAGGTTGTGGGCCCGATCCCCAGTGGGGGGCATGCAGGAGGCGAGGCGGCCAATCCATGTTCTCTCTCATTGATGTACTTTTCTTCTTCTTTTTTTTAATCCTCACTTGTGGATATTTTTCTGTTTATCATCAGACAGAGTGGGAAGAAGGGAGAAAGAGAGAGAGGGAGACAGAGAAACATTGATGTGAGAGAGACACATAGACTGGCTGCCCCCCCCCCCCCCACCCCAACCAGAGCCGGGGATGAATCACAACCGAGGTATGTGCCCTTGGCTGAAATCAAACCCTGGACTCTTTGGTCCATGGGCCAGTACTCTAACTGCTGAGCCAAACCAGCCAGGGATAGAAATCATGTTTTTAAAAAAAATTTCTTCCCTTTGTAATGCTCTTTATTATATTTTATTCCTTTTCTTGCAACATTATGATTTTTTGCCATGTGGCTATATCTTCATAATGCCCATTTAAAACTTTGTCTAGTACTCTAC